TGTGGGATTTCGTGAAAGCCCGATTCTATACTTGAGGCTCAACTCACAAGAGCTCCTTAATATCCAGGAGAGATGCCTGTCCTACAAATCAACTGGCTATGTGAGCATTCTCATTTTATCCTTTATGGACCTTTAATTTCTGAAACTTTTGGGTTTCGATGTCTATCGATAATTGCGGGTTTTATCCGCAAATTAGGATCTTTTCTGGGTTCAAATTTTGCATAGAAAGAAAAAATATCAAGCAAATATTTTAAGTGTTTCGCTGGCAATTTTTAAAGTTCATCCTTCAATATGTGCTTTCGGTTTCAATCCCTTTTGATGGAATAATCAACTTTTCAAATATTCGTACTGTATATACCAAAAGCGTTTTTATAGCTTGCAAAATATAAGTCTACTTGAGTAAAAGTTTTTGAAAACCTTCAACTTTTTCTAAGTAGATACATATTACTTTGTATATGCTTGCTACTTGCTATGTTTGTAATGCTAATATCACACATTTAATTAAAATATTATACTAAATACATTATATTTTAAACGTTATTCCCATCACAGTGAGACTAGCAATTGAAAGAAAAATGTATGATTTATTCAATAAAAATTAGAATCGTTGTATTAGATTACGGTCTTAGATTCGAAAATTCGATTGATTCTCCCAAAGTAGAATCTGCATAAAATAACAAGAATATTTTATGCAGTTTCTACTTTGTTTGGGAGAATCAAACGAATTTTAGAATCGGAGACCGTAATCTAAGATGCAACGATATTAAAATTAAAAAATAAATCCAAAGCTACTAAAAAATTTCACAACACTCATCGTTTGATAATTTATACCACGAAGAAAACTTCAAACTTCTTACAACAAGCACTTTCACAGGAAGCCAACAATTTCGTATCCGGTGTATTGTGATTGATAACTGGTTAATCTCGTTTATATTAATGTAAATATTATATAAAGTTGGACAAAGATGTACAGAGTTACTGACTGAACTTTGACCCCCCCGTTTTTACATCTAACTTAAAATTTAGAGAAAAATATTAAATGCAAAAGTTGAGGACAACAACGTTTTGGTACACCCTGTCTCAAATCCAAGTTGGGAACAAAATTTACATTTTCTTAAATAGAATGACGCATTTTTTATTGCATATTCGAATTATACGCAAATTTCTAGGCCAATTCGATCTGAATCTTCTATATTAATCTTCAAATGGTTTTGAGTTAATAAACCATATTGATCGAACTTTGGGCAATTTTAATCTGCTCATTGCACTAAAAGTTGGGCGTTTTTCGTCAAGTTTGAAAATTTCAGAAAAATCAGCTGAAGTTGGAATTTTAGTGGAATTTGGTCCACTTTTCGATAAAACCTTATTCTTTGTAGTGCCAAAAATTCCGTTTGCTGTTTGATGTAAGTGGTTTGGGAATTACAAAATTTTAAACTGCAATTGAAATTGCACGGTTTTTTTCTCTTTCCCGTCGAGTTTAAAATTTGCTAAATTAACAGAAGTGGGGATTCTAGTGATATTTGGTCCACTTTTCCACAAATCATTTTTGCTTTATGGTGCGAAAATTTCAGTTTGTTGATATGTGGTTTGGGAGTTACAAATTTCTGTCTAACCAAACTTCAAGTTATACGGCGTTTTCTTAGTTTCTCGTCAAGTTAAAAAATTATGAAAAAATTACCAGAAGTGGAAATTTTAGTAAAACTTGGTACGTTTTTCGATAAAACCTTTTTCCTTATGGTGTAAAAATTTCGGTGTGTTGATATAAGTGGTTTAGGAGTAGCGGATTTTTGTCTAATCAAACTTCAAGTTGTGCGGTTTTTTCATATTTCTCGTTAAGTTTAATATTTTTTGAAAAATCAGGAGAAGTGGGGATTTTAGTAAAATTTGGTCCGCTATTCGATAAACATTTGGCTTTATGGCGCGAAAATTTTAGTTTGTTGGTGTAAGTGGTTTGGGAGTTATAAATTTTTGTTTAACTGCACTTCAAGTTGTACCGTTTTTTTAATTTCTTGTCAAGTAAAATAATTTCTGAAAAATCAGCAAAAGTCGCGATTTTAGTAAAATTTAGTCGACTTCTTGATAAAGCCTTTTTCTTTGTGGTGCAAAAACTTCAGTTCGTTGATTTAAGTTGCTTGGGAGTTACAAATTTTTGTTCAACTGCACTTCAAGTTCTGCGGTTTTTTTCTAAATTTCTCTTCTTCTAGAATTGTACGTATTGTTCCAATATGCAACAGAACTTCCTCATGTCTTTTATTACAAATTCATTAAGAGTGGTCTTATTTCGCAATAAGAACAAATAATTTATCAAAAAGTAATCAAGAAATTAAAAATTAAAAACAAATAAACAAAAAAATGTTGATTACTTTTTGCTAAATAATTCGTTCTTATTGCGAAATAAGAGCACTATTTAAATCTGTGAAAAAAATAAAAAGTTTTGAGTCTTACTTCGACAGTATAAGGAACCAAAAATTCATTAAATTTCCCGAATTAGTCGTTAAATTTACAAATAATTTCAAGGTGACACACTTGCGACTTGAAATTTTTTAGGAAATGAGCTGTTGAATGTCGTAGGAGAACACTAAGATCGTTAAGACGCTTTAACCAGAACCATTATTGAAGTCGTAATTAGTGTAAATGGAATAATCAGCGAACGTGACCAAACTGTAAACGGAAGTCGAACATAATGACATTTTTTCGAACTTCCAATGTTGACTTTAACATCTTCTGATTATATACGAGACATTGTTGTTAATATCACTCATTTATGCAAATCGGATATCAAAATAATCATTCGAGTTAAACTAGCTACGGCTCTGTTATCAGAATGCGATAGAAGTCCCAGTATCAATCTACATTTGTGTTACTTTTCACTGGTTTTT